AGTGCTCCGGCAATCTGCCGTAGTTCCTACCAAAATTCCTCTCCACTTCCATGGTGCGTCGCGGACTGTTTGCATCCCGACGATCCACCATTCGGTTGATTTTGCTCGGAACGCGATTCGATTCTATTCTTGCCTGATCCTTCCTGCTGCTGTGCTCCGATGTATGACCCCGTTCATATCTCACGCCGAACCTTCTATGTCTGTCCCTGTCGTAGTGATTGTCCACCATATCTATAAGATGATCGCGAGATGATAAAGCGGGTGTCACAGCCACTACTGATGAGGAAGATGAAGCCGAAGGTACGGGTGGCAACGTCGCTGTTGACTGAACGTTCGACGACGGCGCGGCATGCCCACTCTTGTCGTGTAAGGATGCACGATCTAAAGACGTTTCTCGAAAACGATCCATGCGATCCCGGGGTGAATTGACTGTCGACTTGCTGCGACTTGACGATACATCTTTTTCAACAACAGTATTTCTTTCATATCTTCCATCCAGTCGTGACTGCGTGGAGTTCCGTTCACGCTCGGCGAGAGCTTTCGTTTCAGATCGTTCCCGTTCGCGTTCATTTCTGTTTCGCTCGCGAGTCCCGCCGCTTTTCTCAAATGACATATCTTTACCCAAAGGTCGTTCCTTGATTCTATTATTGTAACGCGAATTCTTATCCGCCGATAGGTTCAATGCCGCGGGTGAAATTACCGTAGACACGTCCCTTTCGCGTGGTTTCATAGACTTCTCTCTTTCTCGGTCGCGATCGCGATCTCGTTCTCGTATTTCACGATCTCTTTCCCGCTCACGATCGCGTTCTCGTTCTCGTTCGCGATCTCTATCTCTCTCTCTGTCGCGTTCTCGTTCTCTTTCTCGATCCCGGTCCCGATCGGTCCTTTCTCGATCACGCTCGCGCTGTCTTTCATTCCGACAACGCTCCTGAGATTCATCCTTATCCTTATCACGCTGAGGTTCTTGGCGTTGATCACGAGTCAGTCTCGAGGGGCGTTCGTCTCTCATCTCCTTTTCACGTTGACGCTCACGGCTTTTCTGTCGCGTCTTATCACCGCCGTAGGTCTTATCATCAAAGTTGTCCTTATTTATGTTGTTCCTTCGATAATTGTCATCTTGATTCGAAGTTATTGTTTGTTTTGTTTTACCGGAAGATGCCTGCTCGTTTTTTCTTACATCATCTCGTTCTTTGCTTTTATCTCTTTTGTGCGAGTCGCGATCTTTCTTCTCTGCATCTCTCACGCGACTCGACGAGTTGCTTTGCTTCTCCGCATTCTTCGCCGGGGTAAGATCGCGTCTCCTCGATGGCGTTCGACTACGTTGTACTTTTGATGACGCATTCTCTTTAACGTGCTGGTACTTGGATGATCGTTCCGATGACGACGGCGGCGGCGGTGGTGTACGTGAACGCACATCCTTCTCTTTGTTCTTTTCTTTCTCCTGTTGTTCTTTGATTTTATCGAATGACTTGCACTTGACAGCGTCCTTGGACAGACACTCATCCATATCACGAACCTTCTTGTAATGCCTGCCGTCCTCCTTGTCCACTTCTCGATTATTTTTTATCGTTTTCGGTGATTCGCTTCTGTTCCTTTCCCGAATTTTGCTGGATGATGCGTGATGCGCCACAGAAACTTGCGAGCCCAATGTTGCAGCTACTGCAGAGGTGACTCCACTCGTAGATCCCTGTTGTATCGCAGGTGATCTAGCGCGCAATGAGTTGGTATGCTTCCTGGTTACAGATGACGAACCATACTTCTTGACTGGTCTCGTAGTAAGATCTTTTTTTGTGGAATTGTCAAGTTTGCGTTTCTTCTTATTGACGGCTTTGTCATTTCTTGTTCCTAGTCTCTTGAGTTTCAATCTATAAAATTCACCCATGACAGCAAGTATTTATATATATAACTCCTCAGCATTAAAATATAATATACATAATAAATTATATATATAATAATAGATTATTTATTGAATATAAAACTACAAGTAATTTGTTTGCTTACAAATACTTGCAATTACATATTCACACATTATAAAGTACAAATAAAAGACACTAATAGCATTTTCGACTCAAATGGGTTTGCACCGATTTAAGTTGGATAATTTTTGCTAGTTACTTAGTTGACGTTACATGTTCTACCAATAGGAGAGCATACAATATCATTAATCCAACCCAGATTGATGCAAACTCGCTCGGACCAAATATGCTATAAATGAGTATTTACTTTTTCTTTCTTTCTTTGTCCTCACTATAATCGGCAGAAATACTATGATGTCTCTTAGTCTTGATCTTTTTGATTTTCTTATGCGAGTCCGACGTGGATGTAGAAGAAGAGTCTTCACTGCTAGAGCTGCTGCTACTGCTAGACGTGCTGGATGTATGCGAACTAGAGGAAGAGCTCATCGCTTTTTTCTTCTGCCTTACTTTATCCTTGCCATGTACTTCTTTGTCCTTCTTCATTTGTAATTTCAGTTCCCGTTGTATCAATTGCCGCCGTCTCTCCAACACTTTCTCGTCCTCGTATTCGAGATCTGTCTGATTCCACTCTTCTATGTTTAAATCCGGACTATGCGACGCCTTTTTCACGATCTTCGATGTGAGCCGTTTGAAGGGATCCTCTGCAATGAGCTGTAATATCGAGAGGATCAAAGAAAAAATTTTGACTTTTTTAAATTTATAATTTATAGTCATCTGCCAATTTTTACTCTTATTAATTATATTACAATGCTGAAAACATTATGTATATGCATATCAAATAAAATTGTTATCAAATAGAAAAATATGATGAGCTTACCCCAGATGTACCTGCGATCGCATTATCTTTCTTAGCACGTTTGGATGGACTTATCAATGTGTGTGTGTTTGCGTATCTAATTAAGAAATAAGAGAAATGAGAAATTGCATTAGACCAATAAGCAATATGCTAATAAAGAATAAAAAATTGAATCAGAAATCAGATCTTTATGAGAAACTAGTTTTCGGATTATATCATATTGTGCAAAATAAATAAGACTGTTAAATCATCGAAAAACAGCTATTCGAAATATTGGAGAAAATATAAAATTATCATAGTACACACTCATAATCATGACTCCAATTAATAATAAACCGTAAAATAATTAACTATATGTTACAAAAATTCTTCTACTATTGTCTTTATATTATAAAGCGAAATTGTTTTTTTTTTTTTGTGAAACTGCAAGTGTAAATTCTTGCAATAATCAATCAGCCGACTACTACTGCGTACTTCGGCGAGAGATTATGACAAATGAAATTGGCACTCACTTGCAACTCTTTCCGTAGGAACAACTGCCGTTGAGGGCCCAATTTCTACAATAATCCGATGTATTTTGAGCGGCGGCGGCGGCGGCGGCGATCGCTGGTTTGGTGCCCAACCTCTCAAACACACTCGGCCGTCGTGAAGAGTCTGTATTACATTTCGTAGGGTCAGCCGTTATTTTCCTTATGTTTGGTTTTGACATATTATCACCATAAAGCACTTGTATTTTCACAATGGAAGCGCATAACTGCGAGCATGCAGGCGTTTACGTGCCGTGCGAAACCGTCATTGATCGTCATGCAACAATATGACTTGGCGATCTGATCTCGGCTTGTCTCGTCTTGGCGTCTCCGGTCCGATCTCGGCTCTTGGCGCGTAATACACTATACAGGCCAATACGAGAAGGAGAATAGATATATTTATGCTATGGCTGCTCGGAATATGCTCTTCCTCCAATTAGATTTCAGCTTGTATTTAACGTCCGACTGTCGGTAATGAGATCGGAGCAAATCGGAGTCAATCAAAATTGGAGTATTGGTCAAAACTCCATGAAATCTAGCTTTACTATTAAAAAAAATTGGGATTTTATCGCTTTGTTTAGCTTTTTAGAAAATATATTTTCAGAAAAATCTATTCATTTTATTTTGTATATTTAATATAATGTCTATTCATTCAGAATAAATATAACTAGTTTTTCAATAATAGTTTTTGAATTCATAGTTGATATTTTTGCTCGATATTGACATGTCTAATTGGTAGACATTTAATTAAATCAAATCTCATTGTCGATTATTTTTCTTATAATATAGATTAATTATTATAGATGTTCGATTTTCTTATAACGTTTGGTTCAATTTATTTATTTTGGAATAGTCATCAAGTTTTGATGTTTTTTCAGATGACATAGTCAAACTAAGGACCATACATGCATACATATATTTAAGAACAATAAATCGTAAAATTAATATCATATTAGATATATGAGTTACTCAAGTCAAATTTTGATAGTCGCATAAATTCATAAAATTGTTAAACTCTGGAAAGTTTTTTTCCATAAATTTGTTATTACAACTGTAACTTTATCAGCAAAGGCATCTAGGATATTTGAAAGTTTCAAAAGAATCGATTATCCATATTTTTTTATCAATATTTTGCCTTAAAAATATGTATCTACATTTAATACACAATTATAAAACGCTTTACGCGTTTATATATCGCAACAATGTAAAAATATTGCATGAATGTTCCACGTTTAATGAATATTCGCGTTGCATGCCAATTGTTTTCATCTCAATTTTGATCAATTCGCAGAGATTGACAAAGCGCGCGCGTGACATCCATCGTTATATTACATGTTCGAATCAGAAAACATGCGGAAATCGGATGACTTAACGCCAGAATCATGTCGAATCATACCAATTAAATGAGAATGACCGATCGGACGCGTCCGATGACTAATGATTGTGGAATAGTGCCGTATTGTCTCTCGCAGAATCTTGCTATTTACAACATAAATATTCGTATATTTATGTGTGTATATATATATATATATATATTTCTTTTAATTAAATTTAATTAATATCTCAAACTCTTCTTTCCTTTCACCCACCTTGTATATTAAATTTTATTAATTTTGCATTGATCACGTATAATCTTGCATTAAAAAAGACATTGTAAACATATATATATTATCTTTAAAATAATTCTAATGAAAAATCCGCTTGCCGTTCGCATGTGTTTTTTTATTAGAATAAAAATAATTCAATCATCATTACATATTCTGATCAATTTATTCTCGGGTCGTTTGCCGTAACTCGATTAGCACGATTAACGTCAGGAATGCATTCGCACGCTAATTGCAATTTTATATCTTACATTGACCCGCGCAATAACAAAGGATTGTGCGCATTTATCCTTACTTCTCGATGAATATAGATCGTATGGATCGCAATCGGAGGCAACGAATGCGCGAGCGAGCGAACGAACACAAGCACATTATCGTAAAATCGGGATCGTCGTCGAAAAACAATAAAGTGGCGTTTTTCGCACAAACGCGCGTATTGCACACCATGAAAGAAGAAAGAAATATTTTTATTACACGCAACATTTCCCGCACACTTGTAATTATGGTGATATCGTCGAAGTGACGTCTCGTGCTACACTGATATTACACATATTAATTTTTGCCGACGTTACGTACACAGCGAATGAAACCTACGGTGGTACCCCGCATAACAATAAATTAGACTGCATAACGATTTGATAAGGATTATACAACATCATTTATATATGTATGTAATCGTATGACTATATATCCACACGGACTTTTTTTTCTTTCGCAACATGATCTTCAGCGCAACTTTACATACAAAAATCGATTAAAAAAATATTAGTATGAATATATGAATTAACATCTTGCATATTTAAAATATATGTATGTGTATATTAGTGATTAGCAAAATATAATTATAATTCTAATCGCGGCGTAAAATCGCTCTAAACAATCGTTCAAGAGATTGTTTAAAAGAGATGTAGACGCTACAGAAGAGATGCATCGCTATATGCTTCGCTATATCTCTCTTCTCTAAAATTCTAAAGCAATGATATTCCACCTCGCGCCACGATTACAATCTTTCCACATACATTATTATTTTATCTTTATATAATTCAAATATATATGTACGTAGGTATAGCGTTTCGTTCTGAGGTAGATCGAGTCAGCAAACAGCAAACAACTATATAATTCAAAGCTCATTTCTAAGTGCATCTAAATGCACATTCTAAATCTTTTACTATTATGATTAAAACTACATCGTCTGAACGTTAAAAAAAAGATCATCAATGTCAATTCTTAGTATTGTTGCATCAGCCGCCATCATAATTCCGAAACCTTGATTAGTAATTGCGTAAAAAATGGAATTGATTAGACTTATTCGGAAAAAAATCGTCGATATTTTAAATATTTTTTAATATCATTAAGTATAATTAAATTTTACATATCAATTTTATTAGGGCCAAAAGTTCTGCTGTGTATGATACACATTCACTGTAATTTAAAAATTAAATTTAGAATCACACAACGTATGCAACGTTGATTGATAATGGACATTGATGATATCATCTCTCTTTAATGTATTATAATTAAGTGACATTCGGCACTTTTTTCTTTGCACTTTCATCAGGATATATAATCGTTCTTTTTTTAATCAAATGATATCTTTGCAGCTAATTTGTCAAAAAAATCGTATCCTTTGTTTGCATAAATACATTATTGAAACTATCGTACGTGATGCATGAAAAATGTTATATACAGATTGACCAATATATACAATAGGTGAAAACGCAGATACTTTTGTAAAAAAAATTAACGATTTGAAAGTCTAAAAGATAAACCAATACGTATATCAAGGTTTCGTTTCTTATTACATCAGTAAACATTTTTGGAAATAACGTATACAAGATATATGTTAATTATACGTTAACCAATAAGTTAAACTGTAAATCTCCTTTGTCAAGCATTTAACAGCAACTTTAAAGATAAAAAGCAATATTATCCTACATGTGTGTATAGACATAGCATATTTTTCTAAAGATATATATACACGCGTAGACATCATATTTATAGGAAAACGATTCGCTATAATATTAAAAATTATCGATTCCACCATCAGGAATACCGGCTCTAATATTCTCCAACACTTTGTTCACAAAATCTGTTGAATAATTTGCTATTCGCATTTCTGCAATCAGAAATTTGCATACGTATTAAAATAATAATAACTAATATGAGTATGCTTATTGTATGTTTTATTTGTATACTTATGATACATTTTATCTAAGAAATTATATACATATATACATATATATATATATATATATATATATATATTGATATTACTCACTGGTAGCTAGCTTGCAACATTTTTCCATTTGTCGTGTAAGTTCTTCTTGAGTGTCAGGATTGGATTCAGCTAATTTAGCAGCAAGTGTATGTTTAGCTTGTGATATACCTTGTATAAGACGTCCTAATAAAAGAATTATTCGTTTTTCTTAATATATTCAATATGTTTCAATACATTTATCATTTCGACGTATACTCAACTGTGTTCTGTTTCAAGTCCATGCAGCTTTATCTTATTTGCTTCATGTTGAGCCTTTTTCTTTAAACGGCATGCTCGTGAAGCTAGTTTATTTTTTTCTTTACGCGTTTTCGGTCTTGCCGGAAAAGGTAATTCTGAAACAGGTGTCATATCATTTATAATGCGATTTAATTTATCTAGTTCTCGTCCGATGTTATGGAGCTTGCGAGGATTCGGTGTAAGATCATTTCCGTCGCCTTTTCGTGCCTTTCCACTATGTTTAATTCCTCTAAGAGCACAATGAGGACTAAATACTGGATCAGTTGCTTCATTCAAGACATGTGGATCTTCCAAACGCGCTCGCGCAATTAATCGTTGTCCTTTTGGTCCCTTAGCTTGAACGTTATATTGCCAGAAGAATCTTTCTTTCTTACTATGCCTTTCCTTTCCCAATTCTGTAGTTCCTGTTCCTACTCTGTTATTACTTTGCTCCTCACCATCGCTTCCACCTGTATCTGATAGATAAACGATGATTTATATAGCTATATTTCCATTTCTTTCTCTTTTAGTTTACAAAATATTTAATAAAAATGTGAGATTAATTTAATCAATCGATTTTTATTTTACACAAAAAAATAATTTTTTATAAATTATATGACTATATTGTATACTATATATCTATATTTCTTAATCACACAAATATATATATATACCATTATCACTGCTGTAGTCATCATAGTGATCACTATCATCATCACTGTCTTCATAACCTTCATCGTGGCTAAGAGGATCAATACATAGTGGATCTGGACTAAGAGCACCTCCAGTACTCAGACTACTCGTCGATCCTGCCTCCACCAAACTACCGGTACTCAAGAGATGTTGTCGTGGTTCCCTGTGAGCCCAGATATGATCCAAATGTCCCATTGTCTGCGTTGGTGCAGACATAGACAATCTCGAAATTTTAGGTTTACCACCTATCGTAGAGATATTATCAGCCTGATTAGATACTGGATTAAATGGATTTTCACCTCTTTTCATAAGTAGCTCGTGTAAAGTAGATGAGCCAATGGGCCGAGTTACAGGATGTGGTGAAGTCGATGAGCTTGCTGTTGAACTACCTGAATGAATTGTAATACATTATCATTTTTATCAACAAACAAATCGTAAAAAAACACAAATATAAATCATCAAAAGCACAATACTAATATTTAATACAAAAACACAATATTAATATTATCTAATTGTTTTTGCTGTTACATGTAAAAAAATACTGTTACTTAATATTATTGCTATTAAAAGATTAAATACATTTGTTTTTTGACTATACCTGCAATGTTACTAGTGCCTGGACTAGGAAACGCAGTAGGACTAACAGCTTCAGCATTATCCACAATATTTGAACCTCTATTTAAATTAAAGCCACATGTATTTGTATATGTGGGACAACTACGGTGTGTTACTCCAGATTGAGGAAAACTACTGGGCGCAAATCCTATGCTACTACTAAACAGAGAGCCAGTTAATGGAGCAGCATATTCCATTTTTATCGGCTGTACTCTTTCTTCGGGTAATAACAAATCATCAAAATTTAAATCTCCCAGCAAGGTATCGTCATTGGCATTCAATTCGGCCAGAGTTGGACCTTGAATAAGTTCAGCTTTGTCCACCTGAAATATGTCGTCCTCATCCATCTTAAACGAGATGTCCATCTGATCTGGATCCATTTTAAAAGGATATTCCATTTGCTCGGCCCTCATATCCCATCCTGAGGATACCGCTAGAGGGGACGGTGAGAACTGATCGTAAGTTCCTCGCGTGGTACCTCTGTGTCCTCCCGGTATCGGCACAGATGCCGACGCCGAATTCATCTCCTGGGCAGGTTCCTGCTTCACTATGCTATCCATTGTGTTAGATAGCGAAAAGTCGTTGTACTTGGAGTCATCCATCAGTCACAAGTGCGTTGACGAAAAATCAACAGAGAACGTAGTTCTCGCGCGCGCTTCAAGCACGCTATAACAATGTCAACAATTATACTTCTGGAAATTATTTTTCTACGGAAAGTAAAAAGTACAAAAGTTTGCTGAATAAAACAAATCGTCCCAAACTCAATCTGTTCGTCGTTCGACTTTGTATGTATCAGAGACGAATATCGTGCAGTTACAGGCAACAAAAATCGTTACGTATTATTATTACACGCGTTACAACAACGCGTCATTACAACGGCACGGCGACTGGACAATGTCCCAGCGCAGCGGGACGATAACGAAAGAGAAAGAGGAAACGCGCGCGGCTTATCGCTCACTGAGCGAATTGCACCGTTTACAATTTTGATTGATTTTGACTTGTCCACGCCTGATATCGCTCGATCGATTCGCAGTGATTCGCAGCCTCGCGTGGCCTCGCGCACTGAAAGGCTCGGCCACGAGGGAACGGCTACTCTGTAGTCTCCTAATCCGCTTAAGCGATATTTAAACGAGAGCTGACCTGCTCGGAGAGAATGACAATGTGCACAGCACAGGTCGAAAATCACATATTGGTCCACGCGCGCACACAGTTGACACAGTTGACACAGTACGCACACATCGCGCGTCTCTCGTCAGTAGGCATTTTTCGCAGCTGACAGCATCTCGCGACGAGGCCAGCTAGAGTAGGTTTCACTTTTCTTCCCCCCCGAATTGTCGGAGTAGACCCGACTCACTCGACTCGCGTGGCGCCCGCGACGGCAGACGGGTTTCACGAAAGCGAGAGGATCCTCGATTGCCGTCAATCGAGCACGTCTATAATCATGCAAATCTCGTACTACGGATTTTTCCTTGTACGTGCGAACGACTTGCGAGAGAATCGCGCGAGAAATCGGTCGAAACGCGGAGATGTTACGACGTGTGTTGTTTGTTATTGTTTTGCCACGAGACTGCGGGGGCTGAGTGATCGGTGATGTTTGCATAAATAGAAGAACGGGTCACATGACACGTCTCGCGAACGAATGTCGACCAGTCTGCGGCGCCGACCAATCGTGCGCCGCTGTTTCCCTCTATCTGCAAAAACGCGCGCATCTTCTTGTGACTCGTTCTGCGACTTGACGCAGTTTGGCGCAGAATTGTCATTCTACTAATGTTATTTGTCGTGCGTGCGGAAAAAAGCGCGACGACGCTACCTGTCAAGGACGTCGATCAAAACTTCTGGACTGCGTTCGGAAACTCATCCGAGTTACCCAAGTGCCTTATAGTGTTTTTTGGCAGAATTAGTGCGTACTCAGTGCACTTTAAAGCTATTGTACAAAAATCGTAAAGATGTACGTTTAATAAAAATATATTCCGTATTCATAGTCTTATTTTATATTTAAGGTTTTCTTAACTTTATCTTTCGATGCTCAATAGCCAATAAAATTCGTAGAGCACCTGAAGTGAAGCATCTCTAAATTTAAGAAAGCCTTAAATCTAAGGCCTGAATACGGAATAGAAACGAATTAAACTGTGAAATATTCAATATATTTTATTGTGCTATTTAATAAAATACACATTGGGCACTTTATTAATCGCGATATCTTACTTTTACAGGTTCTTAAGACCATGGCACACAACAAATTTAAGACAGTAAGGAAATCAATATGTTGAATTGGCTATTGCTTACGTTACGGACTCTACCGTGATTGGTCAATTCGCTATTCGATAAGAATAACACGATTTCAACTTATCAGAAATCAAATACACTAGAATATACACTTTCTGATAGGAAATCGTGTTATTTTTATCGTTATTGCTATTTCTCCGCATTGTGTAAGGCTTAAAGGGCTTCACACATGAAACGTATAAAGCTGGGTTCACATCTTAACGAAAGTCAATCAGAACTCGCAATAGTAGTAGGCGGTACATTTCGCTTGTCTGCTTCGCTTGTCTGCTTCGCTTGTCTGCTTCGCTTGTCTTTTCGCGAGTTCTGATTGGCCTCCGCTTTTCCATCAAAATGTGAACCCGGCCTAACAGAATAAGTATAACATAAGACTGCTGGACCAATGAGCATCTAGCATAATGTTGCCATGATAATTTACATGCTTATTGCTTTAGCTTATTTTTTCTCTTAGATGTTGGCAATTCCGTAACTAAACCGAGAAGTATTTAGGGTACTCCATTAACTTCAATGATTAAAATTTTCACTTTTCACTTTCCATCCTGGGGATAAAGTTTCATGATTGATACCACAAACTCATCGGCCGTCAAACTCAGCTACTGGCTTCCATTAGTTATGAGTTATGACAACCGACGATGGCGTTCAAGATTCGATTCTGTATCTTAAAACGAGGTGAAAATTACAAAAGTGAGCGAATTTACTAGAATACTAATAATTTCATTGGTCAATATCTAGTAAATTTGTTCACTTTTGTAATTTTCATCTTGTTTGAAGATACAGAATCGACTGCCAAAACACTTATCGGTTTAATTATGGAACTACCAACATCTAGGGGGGAAAAAATAAGTTAGGTTAACCCGATTCGGAATACCCTTTAAATACGTTACTGAAGCAGTGCCACGCATGCGCGTGCCAGAAAAGTGACCGTATATCCATATACCATTGTTTTCTGTCTTATGTTACTATGGAGCACTAGATTGCTCTAGAACTCTTTTTCTCGTTTTCGATAAATATCAAACGTATAACTGTCTCACTTTAAGTTCTAAAAGTGTACACCAGTTCAATTACAGAAAACAGACCTCATCACTGTTTAGTAAGTAATAGGAAAGTAAGACAATGTAAGGGTGCTTTGTTTTTGTGGCTGTTCTCCCCAATGGAAGTCGCAGTCAGAAAAAGGTGTTGAATAAGTTAATTTCGCATAAATGTTCTAAATCGACATTAGTTCTTCATAAATAGAGTTCTTCATAAATAGAGTTTCATTATTAGGAAAAGGTGAAAAAGAGTATTCCATTCATTAATACTTTCGGAGGCTGGTGGCGTTTATGCTGAGAGAAACAGCAGAGTAAGTACAACTACACAACGATAAAGGTTATTAATCCTCAATGAGAAATTCTTTAATGACGTAAAACGGTATTCAAAGCTCGATCTGTTAAACTTATTCTACAATGTACTTTTTGGCTAATTCTACAATGTGCACAGTTTATTTTCTGTTTCTTGCTGTTGTTTGTCTCTGTCTCTTGCCTTTTTGGTCAATAAGACAAGAAACAAACAGCAAGAAACCGAAAACAAAAAGCACATTGTAGAATTAACCTTAGTGTCTTGTTTCTTGCATTTTTCTATTTTTTACTACTTTTTTTTTCTTTTTATGTTTTTCATTTTTTGTTGCACGGGATAAAAGTTAACGAACTTGGAAAGAAACAATAAACACGTGGCGAGATATAAAATTGTTGGCTGTAAAAAGGGAAAAAGAGGGAAACGCTTTTGTTTCCCTCCCAAGAAACAAAAAGCACATTGTAGAATAAGCTTTAAAATTAAGCTTAAAATCATTTTATTAGCTGACTTTTTTCCAGATTCTTTTCAAGATTCAAACATGCATATCAAAATATTCGAAACTTCTTGAAATTTCTCGATGTTCCGCATCTTTCGGATACTATATTTAAAAGATATTTTAATATTTTAAATAGTATTTTTAAACATTTTACGTCTTGATTTTGAATTACCTGAACTAAAATTATCCACGAACAGACTTAAGATCTTGAATATAAAGTCGGATTGTGATTACCATTCGTAACATCTTAGCATCCTCTTTAGCGTCCTCTGCGAAAAAGGAAGTCTGCCATGATGGTTTAAAATGCGCGAAACTACAAGGAAATGATGCTAACTTAGAGTTATGTTCAGATTTAGGCTACATTCCAATATTCCGAATAGCGCTAATTGGTTGTTCAGTGACGCATTCTCTATTCCGCAGTCCTTTTCTGCACCGTGTGATTTCATCCTTAGAATGAGTATAAAGAGAATCGTAGGTTTTGTGTCTGGAAAACCATTTTTTTTGATTGTGTGACCTGCATTGTATATGCATACCTTTTTTACAAGTTACAAGGGAGCCACATAAAATGTTAAACACTGGTATTAATAAACTTTGTACACATGTAAGTTACATAAAAAGATAAATTTATAAAATGTTAATTACGGCGGAAAAACAGTTTGAAGGGAAATCATCCCTTATAACACGGATTTTAGCTTTTTTCGTTGTACCTTAAAAATTATTCGAGATATTAAAAATGTTTTATATACAAAACTTTTACAACAAAATTACTTCTGTTCATTCAATAATATATATGAAAAATAAAATTTTTTTAATTAAAAAAAAATAGTTTAATAAAAATATTGACGTAAATGAGTAGAAGTAATTTTGTTACAAAGCTTTTATATAAAACATTTATTGATATTTCGAACAATTTTCGAGATATAACAGAAAAAACTGAAAATTGTTATACTACATAAAGGGTAATTTCATCCCTTGAAACCGTGTTTTTGCCGCGACAGTCATTTTCTAAATTCATCTTTTTATATAATCTATATGTATATACAAAGTTTCATTAAAATTAGAATTTATCACTTCGTGTGCTTCTCTCAATTATTGTATTTTTTGACGTTTGAACATCAGTAATTTAGTTTCAGTCAAATTCGGCTGCAGGACCAATAAAAGAAGAAGAAAAAGAAGAAATTTTTTTTCGTTTATATTTCACGAATTTATGAAGTCTGTTAAAGAGTCAAATTTTGCAATTCCGCTCTAAAAAACATAATATTAAAATAATATGCTCCTTTTTCATGCAGATACATATATTTTCATGATATTCTATTTCGGAGAAATAATATTACGTCAGAAATTTTTCTGATTTCTTTTTTTTATGAAGCTACAAAGACGCGTACAAAGTCGGATTTTGCAAATTGATTCTTAAAAAGTTATTATAATATATTATAACTTATTATATAATACATTATTAATTATGTGCAACTGCCTTAATACATATCGGATGAAATATCAGAACGAATTTTTATTTTGTCTTTTTAAAAAAAATTGCTGTGTACAAACCTTCTTCACGTGACTTACCTGATTATGAATATCGTAATTAAAATGTTATTCATGCAGTATTTTAGCCGTAATTTCAATAGGAAGAAATTTGTCTCCGACTAAAGATCTTCATAGTCTTTTCTGTCGACTCTTAAAGAATGGTTTGTGCCGAAACTCTTAAGTCTTAAATGTTGACGCATGCATTTGCATGCACGAGACATCGTATACTTCTGATAAGGTTGAGGAGATTGTTTTACAGGCACTTGATAAGTTCGTCTTTTAGGCCTTCTTTGTGACTGAACTATACCTTTTAATTAGTAACACTTGTTCATTTAAAAAATGTAATAGATATATGTATATTTGAAGTTTAGCAAAAATGCTATAAAAAGTTTAACTCTGATGCCGGCTGCAGACCAGCACGATATTTACCGCGCACGACATGCGATATCCAATGAGCGTACATACATACAGCTTTATCGATGTTCTCATTCTAAAATCTAAAGCTATACGCTCATTATTACGCGCATGTCGAACGCGACGAACATCACATTGGTCTGCAGCCGACATTACTATTAAATGGCACAAAATGGTAGGCCTATTTCTTCTTCTTTTTTTCTCCTGGAGAGAAAAGGAAGAAAGATGAACTGATGCAAAAGTTCAGTCAAAAAGAACAGGCTTGTTGTCTCATCGGACAATTCTGTCTGACTACGGTCGAGAAGATAAACTTCAACGCAATGTTAAAACAAGGGTGGAAGGCATTAATTGCGCGAACAAGTTCGGAGAGATATCTCGAGCACGTTCATTTTTTCATCTTTTAAAATAAATAATTTTTCAAAATTTCTAAAAATTCATGAACATATTTACAATTTTTTAAAACAAATTTTTTATTTTGGAAAATAAAGGACCCCGCACAAATCTTGTGGAAATTGAATTTCGATTGAATTGCCTGAAAATTTTATATGTTGTAGATCTTGTCGTCCTAATAAAAAGTCTCAGGCATGACCCCTTGTAATGATAATTGAACCGTTTGACCTCTACGAGGCGTCATTTTTTAAAACGGGCTAATACAATATCTTTTCAACGAGCATGGTGCATTTCTACATTATTATTTGCTCTTTCTTTATTTGTAAGTAAAAAAATTACAAAAATAATATTAATTGTTTCTGACAAAAAAAGCTATAAGGATATCGAAGTCGATAACTTGATTTTTGAGATTTAAGTCAACGCTGTGTTGCTTCACGTTTAGAGCGCGGAATTTTTGGGACGATTATGGAGCGCACACGAAGAACCACTGCGCGCTTTATTTATATTGAGTAGACCGTGTGTCGGTCGAAGTATTGCTATCTCATTTCAATGAACATCCGGCTTGTACGACTACAACGAATCTTTGTACGCATCCCGAGATCATGCTTGAACTCCTGCGACCTATTCTTTTCAGAGTTACTCTTTAAATCAGTTTTTTTCACAACTACTTTTACAAATAATTTTTTTTTAGAGCTATTTTTCAACAATTATTTTCATAACTACTCATACTATTAATTCTTATCTGTTAAATATTTCTTTCTCGTAAGAAAATTATATTTTTTAAATATATATAATAATTCATTTTTCTATTGAATCTTGTAATACAATACTCACAATAATCGAAAGCATCCTGATTTATGAGAAACAGGTGAATATTATAACTTTTTACTTAAAAATATACATAGAAAGTGTAAATAATGACGTAGGAATGCACCGTACACATTGAAAATAAGAAATTGTAATATTAGTCTATTTCGAAAAATGACGCCTCGTAGAAGTCAAACGGTTCATTATAGGGAGTCGTGCCTGTGGAAACTTTTTATAAGGACGGCAAGATCTACAACATATCAAATTTTTCAAGCAATTCAACCGAAATTCAATTTCCATAAGATTTGTGCGGGATCCTTTATATATATATATATAATTTGTATAATATAAACAGTATTTGATTTAGCGAACTTGATGCTAGGTCTGTTCTTTATTTCTGCACTGGTGCACATGACCAATTACAGTCGGTTATTGGACTACAGCCACCAGGTTAAAAATGGCGAAATAGCCAATAGGAAAGTTGACGTTTTAACTCGGGTAAAAGGAGATGCGCTACTTCAGTATATCTAGAGTGATTTAGAACTTTGAGCTGCTTTTTTTTTTTTGGACTAAACCAACACAACTGTTTGTTGTTCCGCTATCTTGAAGATTCCGATTCGTCCATTTAAATTTTCTTTCTTTCGCGTTTTTCTTTCAGACAAAAACGTGTGTGCCGCCTTATAACTTTTTTTTATCTGCGTTCTTTCTATGTGTTTATCTACATATATTTTTAACTTTCTAACTTCATTACGTTGTGTTAATATGCCGCTTTTGCAGGTCAACCAGTGTCCTTTATTGTTTATTTCACGGCTTTGTGCGTGATGAATTACGTCCTCCAATCGCTAAAAATTTGATCGTTTATAACTTCGCAAGCGTGAAATTAGTAACGTGTATAATATGGCGTACTATGATGCTCATATGAATGCTGAGCAAATGCCGGGTGTTGATCGGTAAGAATAAAAAAAAACGTATATTAGATAAATGAATCTGCTTGGAAATGCATTGATGCATTGTATAGTAAAAAAAACCTTTACATTAAATATTTGTGTATATACTTGCGTAATTTGAAAGGTATCAGTAAATTATATACGTATCTCTGAAATTATAAATTTGTTTCATGTAGTATCTTTAGAACGATATTCTAATGATAATTTATATCTTGTATGTACATAGTTTTTTATATTTTACATTATTTACAGAATGGATGCCGAATATACAATATATGTGAGGAATTTGCCAATAGAGTTAAATGAGGTAAAATTATTAATTTGTTTAATTATAAATTATAATTATTGAGACGGTTCTGATTAAAATAATTTTTGAATTGGTTTTTCGTATAAATTATACATTATATATATATATGTATATACATATATATATGTATATATATATGTATATATAGATTATTATAACTTTGCAAATCAATATTGTATATCCATGAGATATCTTTATTTAACATAAATTCTAATAATTTTTAAGGATGGTATCAGAGATATTTTTAGTCAGTATGGCAAAATTAAGGAAATGTTCCATCCTCGTCGTGCCACATGGACCTATGTTACATATGGAACATATCGTGAAGCTGAACTCGCTATGCGAGAACTACACGAAAAGAAACCATTATGCCTGAAAGTAGCATTAGCAAAGGAGAATTCTAGAAGAGAAGAACATTTTGAAAAAATGAAGGTGATAGATACTGCCGATTCACCGCCACCTATTCACAATGATATAAAATAGTAAGCATAATCGATGTTGATTATTGAAATAATAATTATAGAAAAGGGTATATCTTTACATATTTAGTACGAGAGAGTAATTGGATAATTTGTAATATATATTATTTTAGTCAGAATGTGGATCATGGTCAACCAACACATACATTCCATAAGCATGTAATGCCACATATAACAGTACCATGTAGTTTTCCAAACTACGAATCTTTATCTTCGTGTTCACAAACATATGGTACCTATGAGCTCGAAGATCCTTACATGAGTACTAATAAATTGTGGACAAGGTTAAATAAATACAATTATTTATATTAAATGATTGTTTAAACTATTGTATTTTACATTTTTTTTTTCATTTCAGAGGTATAATAACTGTTACGCCAGATGGAAAAAGACATGTTTCCCTTGGACGTGGTTATACACTATATGAATATCCAGAACCGCATCCTAAAGTTGAAGAATATATTTCAAACATATATGAACAACGAAAGAATGTATGAAATTATAAATATATATATATATATATATATATACGCATACACACACACACACACACACACACACACACACACACACACACAC